GTCCATGAAATCAAATCCAGCCAAAGTTTTCTATCTGTTCACCAGGTTTATACCCTTAGCAAAAAGTAGTATACTTGAAGTAAATTCTATTAGGAATACTTAAGTATAAGTATAAGTTTAGAAAGTATACCGAACAATGTACTTTTAGTGTACTTGAAGTATTACTAAAGTGACACCTCTTCGAACTAAATTGGGACATTTTTAAGTTTACTAAAGTATACTTTCAGTATACTTTAGTAAACAATAAAGTAAACAATAGTATAGTCAAGTATACTTGACTATACTATTGTTAAGTATATGAAATATAGTTTAGAATAAGTAAACTCTAAGTGCACTGCCTGATTTTAAGAATGAAATTAGTGCACTTTTAGTATACTTGAATAAACTACTTGTACGTTTTGAACCATTTTGTTAATTTATTTTCCTATTAAAAAAACAAAAGATTTTTTTTTTTTTTCTGGGTTTACTAGATCTATATTAAAGGATTTCTGGTATTTCAAAGTTTATAAAGGAGCCTTTCGGGGGACCTTATGCTTTTGTACATAATTAATCCCTTTAGTTTTCCCTCCCAAACATTATTGGACTTAAAGCATTTCTCTTAAATAGGCTGCCTGCTTTTATTTTAGTATTGGAATGTGGTCAAAATAGGCAATGATGACCAAAGGTGATAACTAGTTACATTTATTGGAGCAATTTTTAGAAAGAAATATAGTTTTAGGAGTAGTTGTTCTTTTCCATAGTGAAGCAGTGGGTAGCACTGCTGCTTTCCCCGGCCCGGGTCCTTTCTGCATGGAGTTAGCATGTTCTCCCTGAGCATGTGGGGGTTCTCTCCGGGTACTCCGGCTTCCTCCCATAGTCCCAAAACATGACTGTTATGTTAATTGGCTTCTCTAAATTCCCCTTATGTGTGGGTGAATTTTTGTGTGACTCTGTGATGGACTGGCGACCTGTCCTGGCCGGACCCCGCCATCAATAGGCACCGGCCCAACAGCAACCCTGACAAAGGGAGAAGATGGATAGACGTTCATTTCCATATTTTTCCTCTTACTTGAGTAATAGTTTTGTTAGATTATCACTACTTTTATTTGAGGAACATTTCTGGTTGATACCAGGAGTAAATTTAGCTGTTTGTAGATCAGCTGAAAATAGAATAAAC